CCACCCTAAAAAAAAAAAAAAAAAAAAAAAAAAAAAAAAAAAAAAAAAACTGGCTCGTCTTGGAATCGAACACACAACCTCCAGATTTGCTATCATTATCCACCATCAACTAAAACTGCCTTTAAAAAAAAATTTTAAAAAACTGGCTCGTGTGGGAATCGAACCCACGACCTTAAAAAAATAAAAAAATAAAAAAAAAGTTTGCCCCGTGTGGGAATCGAACCCACGATCGCCGAGTTTACTACTCCTGATCCAGCATGACTAAACGCAGGGAGGTAAACCGCGGTCCCTAAGCCATAAATGCGATAAACCTAGTACCACACCAAGTACCAGTTAGTCAATTCTAATCATACTAAAAAAAATTCTTCGTATATATACACTGCAGATTAATATTACGCATGGTCATGGTGTCAAAAAAATGGGCCGTGGGCCAAGAGGGTTTATTTTTTGTCTAAAAATGTATAATTAAATTTATAATCGATTTATGATTGTTACCATCTCCATAATTTACACACTTTTTTTTAAATAGACAAAAATGTTGGAAAAATCCATTATGCAATTTAGAAAAAAATTGACCAATCATGTTACGGGATTGAATGTATTGCGCTCGTTGATGACGTCGCGAATTGCGAAATAACAACAAACAACAACCTTTCATGTCCCAGCCTGGTAACCAGTCATTTCGAGCGGATGCCACTTCGAGCGAAGGCCAATTCGAGCGAATTCGAGCGGATTTTTTTTTCGAGCGGATGCTAGTTCGAGCAAAGATCGTATAGCGCCGCTATGCGGCGCAAGATAGATAACTGGGATCGAAAAAGTGAAATCACCATGGGCGCCATGCGAGCAAGCAAATACCTGTGCGAGTTATATGCGAATTACTTTAAAATTTCTATTTTTTCTATTTTTGAGCTAACAATTTGCTTGTTTGGTTGTTTTTTTCACGAATAACATTAATAGCTCAACCAATGCAGTTTATTTCAGAGATAATCTCTCTTTCTCTCTCTCTCTCTCTCTTTTTTTTTTAGGCCTATTAGTATTACTGTTGAACCGTGCACATTCGATGCAGGTGGTTTCCCTGTAATAAATAATAATTAATAATAATATTCGATAATAATTTTTAATGCGCCAATCAAAACAATCATAGGCGAACAAAACATACCCAGTATAGATTTTATTTTAATTTTTCACTTCAACAATAGTTTAAGGTTGTCTACCCAGCCTCAGTACATACAAAATATTAGCTCATGACTGATTCTGACTGCGTCAAAGGTGGACCTTTCCTATCATTGACTCCATTTTTTACTTACACTGTTGGGGGTCTTTGGGAGGTCGGCTTTCACCCAAAATTGACACATTGGCAAAGAAAAAAGTATATAAATAAGAATAGAGATAGAAAGGAACACATTAAAGACACTATTTAAAATTATTTATTAAAAAAAATTAAAGGAGAAAAAGGTAAGTAAAAAAGTGAAAAATAAATAAAGAAATGAATTAATTAAAAATAACATAAATGATTTACTTTAAATAAATACAAAAGAAAAAAAAAAAGGAAATGGCCACATGAAAACTACACATGTTTAGATGAAAGATTTTAAAGGTTAGATTTGAATAAAGAGAGAGGGAGAGAGAGAGGGGAGGGCGCGGGGACAGACGTACTGATCGGTAAGTATGTTGTAGGAAGCATTAGTGTAGCTATAAAATTAATTTTCATAGATTTATATTAGGCTTGGGATTGAAAGATCACCTTTAGTAATCATTTCTTGTGGTCATGCACTCGTTTTGAGATACTGACAAAGGTGACTAGAGTTTAAGTTAGACAGCGGAGTTTAAATTAAAGGAAGGGTTGACAGATATGTAAGGTGAGCAGTGAGGATGTTTCAAAAAGCTACGAATACCTCAGTGCTGGATCTTCTGAATAAGGATATGGAAGTGGATTTTGATCCCAAACTTCAGTCAAGGGGAGAGATAAACAAATAGGTCTACTTATGAAAATTAAAACGACCTGCTTACAATTTTGGAAATATCTATAACAAACGAAACGATTTCATTTAATTAAAACAAAAACGAATAGTTCATTAAACGAATCAAATCAGTTACCAACATCAAAATGAAGTACACATCAAACAAAATAAATTTTCTCTCTTAACCATGTACTACAAAAAATACACAAAGCTCTGATCTGCAAAAGTTCCCTGTATGTCCAGGAAAGACCAAATGGTGTGATGAGCTGTATTTCTTGAGTTTGTCAAGTTCGAAGATATAAGTTAAAGAGATATTTTTGAAGATGCATATGCCGGATCACAAACTATATAGGCCTACAGTACCGATGATCATCCGTGTCAGGGGCGGATCCAGAGATTTTCTGAGGGGGGGGGGGGGGCACAATATGAAGTTCACGCCGCCACGCCCACCTCCGCCCCACTATGGTTGGTGTAAATAAGTGTTAAACATTCGAGCTCTCCTTTCCCCCACTGCTGTATCGTCACTGAACTCATAGCTGCACTCTTTTTCCCACTAAATTTCCTCTTTTTAACTCACTAAATTTCTACATTTCCTATTTGTGTAAATTTCCGACATATAAATAAAGCGTGGGTAAGTTTTTTTTTTCAATGCTTGATGTATGCTTAATAATCGTGAGCCACGTCCGTACTCTGAAAACCCATCTTTGTAACCCACCATAAAAACCGACAAATATTGTGGCCCAGGGTTTCAGTGTTTTAGATAAAATTATCGGTGACGATAGGACGCCCTCAGCAGTTGAACACTCGATAACTTTCAGACCTAGCTGAGTAAAATGAAATAAATTCTGAACTTTAATAATACAGTATGACAGGCCTACATTCAATTCGATGTTGTTGGGCTAACAGCAGCAGAATAATTATTATATAATTTGCAAAACAATTACTCTACATATTTTACTTTATGGACAATACCGAACTCCTCAATCAAAACTTTTCGTAGGCCTATCACAGACTTTGCGATACATTTATAGTAGGCCTACTCTAAGTTACCATTTACTTAATTGCTCATAAGTAATTTATATGTTTCATTATCGTTATACCCCGGGACCATTTTATGCAATATCTACTAAACGTTTCAGGAAGAATGGATCGTGCTTTTTGAACAAATCCGTAATCATAATTTTCTGTGTCTCTAATTAGAAATAGGCCTATATATGACGACTGCGTGAAAGCTGCTCCTTATACTTTTCAAATTGTAAAGTTCCCGGCTAGTTTTCAAATCCGCAGGCTGATTCTGGCTCTTCCTCTGTTGGGTCGACCGCAATGACTTCAAAATTTGAAGAATGACAGAAGAGGTGAATAAACAGAACAAGGAACGACTGTCAGCCATGTTATTCATTATATTATCTTTTTTTTCATATCATTACTCCTTGTTATTTTGTTTTCCCCATGCCTAGGCCCAATAGTAATACATTTAGAGCCTTTGCAGTGGTGGTGGTGGTGGTGGGAGATTAATAACGTAATCGAAGATATTAAAGATCGAGTCAAGTGAAAAAAAAAAATAGTTTAGTTAATTGATTTTGCATACACTCAATTTGTCTGAATTGGCTGATCAAACAAATTGTTTTGGACTTTTTTTCATTGGAATTCGATATTTTATGGGATTTTTCTATGACCTTTCATTAAAATTCATTATTAATTTCTAAAAAAGATAGTCAACGACATAGCCTATAAGTAGGTTATAATATGGAGTTTGACACTAAGTCTCTGATTGACAGTGGTTATTAAAAATTAAATAGACATCCAGTATTAAAATATACAGGCGAATCCACTTATTTAATATATCATACACTTACTTAATAATAATATTATCCAGATAATTTTTTTTAATGATCCAATATTTAGTTTATGTCATCATGATGACACAACCATTCTGTTAGTTTACCGTTACTTTTTTATATAGGCCTACCTAAAGTGCATCTGTGCGGATGAGTAGGCCTATATAATTTTGGGAGGGCTACAGGTACCTCACAATGTTGTGGACGTGTGTGCACCCAGAAATTCCACAGATCTTCCCTTACATGGTTCTAATGAGCTTTCACTCTCCATTCACGCAACAATAGATATCTTTTGTGTTGCTTTCGATTTTCACACAAGTGTTTTGCTCCAGCATGTCAATCAACGTCATCATGATGACACAACCATTCTGCTGTTACGCTTGGTCGCACCAGGGGGTCATGCCGTATGGCTTACCTGTCTTTTAACTAAACATTCCTTTTACACAAAATAGTTCGCTATATTTTTACATTATGTTAATATTTGGTTTATTCGTTGCTCGTAAATCTAATTATTTAAGATACAATAAATGTTTTAAATTAAACAGACGTTTCAATACATTTCACGAATCTCTGGAAGCCACATGATTATTAAATGTGTACACTGACGCGGATTAATATATTGTAATAAGATCTCCCATTTGACCTCAGTGGCTAGCAAGCTTCATAAAATGTACATGAAAATAACGAGGGAACTGTTAAGTTGTTTACTGCTAAGTTCTAATATCAACACTTGGGATTCACATTTGACGACTGTAGAAAATGCCTTTGGAAGTATATAACCCTAGCATATGGGAGCGATGAGGTTTATGACTACACTCATCAATTTTTGTTCCATAATACTGGCTGTAAGAGGTAAGATTACATATAGAATGAAGCCGCTTTGTGCTCCATTGACACCGTGCTATGCGATGTGCAGTCAGTATGGCTCCCCTCAACTCTATGTTTAGAAACTAAACGGTCTGTTTGGGCCTAGCATTGGTGAACATGTTGTAGATGCGAGTACAGTCGCACAAAATGAATGTCATAAAAACATGTGTTAGTGTTTTATTTGTTTATTAATGAGTGTTGTAAATGAGTTGATGGTATCAGAAACTAGTTTATCTGTTTTGAAGTAGGGTAGGCTAGGCGGTCCTAGGCCTTCTACTATTCTACCGCCTAGCCTACGACGAGGAAGCGAACGTTACTATACTCTCGCGGTGCATCAAAAGGAGGTTAGCACAGCCTCTTGTGTGTGGGTACCACAAACGAAAACACAACAAATAGTCCATACTCATCCATCATAGCTTGATGTAATCTTATGCTAGAGCCTGCAGTAGTTAGTAGAATGGACTCTGATTCAAATTTAGATTTACGTTTAGACTGAGGCCTGGCCTATCCTATCTCATTCTCTGTCAAGTTTTATTTGCACCAAGTTTATCTTTCCTGCACATTTTTTTTTTTTGGTTACTTGTTCTGTTTCACATCCATTGCCTGTGTCATGCACAATACGTTTTTTTTTTTTAATTCCTCAATGTCAAGTCCCAACTCGGGTATCCTTTCAAGTATCCAACGTAAATGTAACATAACAATAACTAACAATCATTTGAAATACCTTGCAAGGTTTATGTATATATTCTAATGAACAATAAAATAATATCAAAAGTATGATTCATTCTTAATTGGTATATATTTTCTACAGTACTATTTTGTAATAAAAAAAAACAAACAAATAATACACAAACAAAACAGTAAAACAAATGCATTGTTAACGTGGGCTTACAGTATTTTACCTTCCCATTCATAAAATCGACATCAGCAATTGCTTTATATTTATATTTTATTTTTGACTTTTTTTACCTTGTTTAGTGAACCCATCGGCCGCCAATAATGATAATTTTGAATTAAAAAAAAATTATTTTGGCCAATTATAGTGCAACTGCCGCCGCGAGAAAATTGAAATTTCAGAAAAAAATAAAGTTTTCCTTTATGTTTATTACGCCTGTCGCTGCACCGAAATCTCCAAATATAAGATACTATGTATCTTTCTAATTATATAAATTTAAAGCGTTAATCATTCCATTACTACACTGTTGACATTCACCAATAAAAGTTTATTTTATATTCTCCTCCATCTGGATGTTTCGGAAAAACTATTGCTAAATAAGAAAGCAAAATTTTATTTTTATCGTTTTACGCCTTATCTCCATATCTAATGATCTTTAAAAACATAGGTTTGCAAAACAAGGGATAAAAAATAACGTTTTGCCTTTTATTAGTAAAGTTAAGTTGAATTGCACACATTGCTATCACCAGTTTAGTAACTGTTTGATAATTTTACATCAACACTAAAATTGGTGTATTGTCCTGTTTTAATTGTCAGAAGAGAAAGTATTTTTTTTTTTCAAATATTTGTTGATTAATGTTATATAGTACGGATATACCCATTTGCTTTGATAATCAATTTCAGCTCAATTTAAATAAATAAGTTAAAATAATGTTCTCAACTATACTGGTAAATGCATAAATATTACCTTTAATATTTTCTTTTGTATTAATTTTATATCTTTTCCAAAATGTAAGTTCCTTATGATACCTAATGGAGAATGTCACTGTCATGCTTAAACTGGAGTTGAAACTCTCAATTAGAATGGAGAGGACAATTAGTTGTACTTCCAAGGATTCTCCTATTTTGTGTTTGTTTTTCCTAAAAATGATACAACACTCAATGTCAGACAAATAATCATCTAGTGCCTTTAAATGAGTGAAACATGAGTCTACAGAATTATCTTTTTCGCATTCCTGATCTACTCACATGAATGAATGAGTATGGTATAATGTTGGTGATTATTACAGTAGTCAGGTTCAATGAAACATGTGTCCTTAAAATTATGGTTGTGAAACAATATTATTAAATAACAATAATTTGGCATTAAAATTTAAGCAGACTTGTACAGTAGATGTACTGCACATTTATCAAGTCAAGAATGATAATTGTTAGCCCAAATGTAACTTTGTCCTTCATTAAACTTGATTATGTACAGTACAGTCATGAAATATTGCACTTTTACCTGCGCACAGGCTTCGTAGATACATCGTAGCCTGAAATAAACATTCTAACCTGAGCGCAGGCTTCGTAGCCTGATATAAACAATCTAAGCAAGGCTACGCGAAGCGAACCTACGAAGCAAAAGCATG